CTCAACGATGCTTTGCTTGGCCCAATTGCAATCGCATTGTCCGAGCAGATGCACACAAGCCCGTTGGTATCCACCATTCAGGGGTTTGTTTACACTGCCTGACTGCTAACCACCACCATATGGTCGCCTGCATGGTTTCATAGAACACAAGGACATGAATCCACTCAACAATCAGGGGCACCCCCCTTTTTTTACCAACACCAGGGTCTTGGCGATGTGCAGTCTCGCACATAAGCACAAGTGTACCGCAGTGAAACCAAATGACGGTTGCACAATAACCCGAACCCCGAAAACCTCCAATTCAGGTGTTCAGTAACATAAGCGCTAACCTTGAGCTTATACTAACCTGGGCGAAGAGGCGTGCTGAACGACAGGGGTGCCACCCTGCATACCGAGATCAGGTTGACAGGTTCCGATCAATACTGCAACCCAAGGTCTCCCAAAGCGTGCTCGTGGCGCACGAGTCGAAATGCTGGAAATACTGGTGCCTGATCGCGGGCTATTTCCGCGGTTGAGGCTCTTCGGGATTGGACGAATGAGTAAGATGATAAAGAGCGCCTGAGTAAGGGAACCCGGTATCGTCAGCGGCGATCGGCTGGTATGGAGTCCTGTGTAATATCCACTGTAGACCGCACTAATTCCCCAGCTCGCGGAGGAACAGCAAGATAATCTTCCAATGTGGAGGTGATGGGATGTCCGATTACTCAGTCCATACATGGGGCTGGGATATATGGAAGACATTGGCCTATCACCGAATACAGGGTTGAGCCTCCTTCCAGAATGGGCTTTGGTCTTCGACAAGGATGTCGGGATTGCATCGGATGTATGGCGTTCGCAATGTGATTTCCCACATGGGACGAAACAGTCGGTGTGGTGCCGATTTCGCATAAAACCTGTCAAATCCCATCGTACTTTAACTTGTGGGCATAAAAGTCCAGAGAGGAGGAATGCTACTCTCTGCTTCCACGACACCACAGCTCTGAGATGATGGTGATCCAGAAATTTGTGGCCGCTGTGGCTCTCTTTGGAAGCAGCGCAGTTGCCTCTCCGTTGCTGGATGTCTCTGCTTCAGTCTCCTTGAACTGGACCAGCGCTCATAGTGTTTCCGACCGACCGACTAAGTTCTGGTACTCCAGTATCGACCACAGCACTCCCCTTGTGCGCGGCTTCGCTCCCGACCTTGACGGAGATGTCAACTACGCTGTCTTCAAGGCAGTGAAATCCGGCGATGGGGCGAGTATCCAAACGGCGATCAACTCGGGGACCAACGGTGCAAAGAGACACGGTCTTTGGTTTGCTTCCCAGCCACGAGTAAGCACTTCATTTGCCTCTCAGGTGAGCATGAAAGAACGCTGACAGAAGGGCTTCGTAGGTTGTGTACATACCGCCGGGAACATATGAGATCTCCGAGACCATCTTCATGAACACCGACACAATTCTGATGGGCGACGCAACAGATGTAAGGACGATGGCCTCTCCCATGCAAGCGGAAGTGAGTTGATACTGATCGCGCTGTGAACCCCTAGCCACCCGTCATCAAGGCATCTTCGAACTTCTCCGGCAACCAAACGTTGATCTCTGGCCAAGACCCCGCAACTGGTATCTCCGGGGAGCTATCGTTTGCTGTCGCCTTGAAGAACTTGATCCTCGACACTACAAATATCCCAGGAGGCCAAGCATTCACAGCCCTCTGGTGGGGTGTTGCCCAAGGAGCCCAGTTGCAGAATGTCAAGATTCGTATGGCGCCTGCCATCGGTGGCAAGGGACACAGTGGTATTCGTCTCGGTCGTGGCTCAACTCTTGGAGTTTCAGATGTTCGTATCGAATACGGGCAAAACGGTATCTGGTACAACGGCCATCAGCAAGCTGTCTTCAAGAGCATTTACTTGTTCCAAAATGCTGTGGGAATGTTCATTGACGGTGGCGCCACGATCAGCATCGTCAACCCGACCTTTGACGGCTGTGGCTTGGGCGTTTACCACGTCGCCGGCAACCCTTGGATTGGTCTAATCGATGCCACCTCCATCAACTCCGGTACGACACTGAAGACGACGGACTGGCCAAACTACTTGGTCGAGAACCTTCGTGTCATCGGCGGAAAAAGCGAAAACGCGGTCGAAGGACCTGGTGACTTCGTTCTGGCAGCCAAACCGTACATAGCTCAGCTCTCGTACGCCAACACTGTTGGCCATGATCCCATCTACGGCCACATTGAAGCAGCGCAGTTGAACCGTCCATCATCGCTGGCCCCTGGACCTGACGGGAGTTATTTATACCTCCCAGCACCGAACTATGCCGAGCTCAGCGTCCGAGACTTTCTCAACGTCAAGGATCCTCTTCAGAACGGAGGCCACCTTGTTTTCGGCGACAACACTCGGGATGAGTCCTTCACTCTCAACGCCATCCTTGGTCTCGCCGCTCGTCAGAACAAGATCGCTTACTTTCCCTTCGGCAAGTACCGCGTCGACTCGACCCTTTTCGTTCCCTCCGGCTCCCGTATTGTCGGCGAAGCGTGGGCCACCATCACGGGATATGGCCCCTTCTTCACAGACAGCGCTCATCCCCAGCCGATCATCAAGGTCGGCAACCCCGGCGATGTGGGCACCGCTCACATCCAAGATATGCGCTTCACCGTATCGGACGTGCTTCCCGGAGCCATCATCCTGCAGTTCAACCTCGCCGGTGCGCAGCCAGGGGACGTGGCAATCTGGAACTCGCTTGTCACGGTCGGAGGAACGCGGGGAGCGAAGGCGTTAACGGACAAGTGCGTCAATTCGGAGACGGACGAGCCGTGCAAGGCCGCTTTCCTGGGTATCCATCTCGCTTCGACGTCATCCGTGTATCTCGAGAACGTATGGAACTGGGTAGCCGATCACATTGCCGAAGAACCGATATCGCCGGGCGGGAGCAACATTGCCGGAAAGGGCGGGGTGCTCGTCGAAGCGACGAAGGGGACCTGGCTGCACGCGCTGGGCTCGGAGCATTGGTGGCTGTACCAGCTAAATCTGCGAAAGGCGTCGAACGTGTTAGTGACGATGTTGCAAAGCGAGACCAACTACGACCAGGGAGATAACGCGGTGCAGGTGGTGCCGCATCCGTGGACGCCGGACGTGGAGGGATGGGGTGATCCGGACTTTGGCTGGTGCGCTGGGCAGGAAAACGAGAAGAGGTGTCGGATGGGGTTTGCGAACTACATCAATGGCGGAAGCGACATTCGAACTTACGCGAGTGCCTCGTGGGCCTTCTTCAGCGGGCCGGGATATCAAGGGTGCGCGGGGCAGTATCAGTGCCAGCGGTATATGCATTGGGTGGAGGAGACGCCGGCCAATTTGCAGGCGTTTGGGTTGTGCTCTAAGGATACGTGGGCGACATTGAGGTTGGAAAATGGAACCGAGATTGTCACGAACGAGGGGTTCACCGGGTCATGGTCTGGGTCGGGAGGCGATGTCGGCAGGTACACTCCGGAGGCATCGTGAAAGAGACCGATGGAATGTGCTGAGGATAGCAAACTACCCCTATAGTACAAGATTTGACTCCTCAATTACCAATAGCCCGAAAACATGCCATTTAACGGAAAATTGAGACATGTTCGGTGACGAAGTATGATGGATTGAGTTTCTTGAAGGAGTCGTGAAGCCATCTCCAGGCATATTGTCGTTTTCTTGCGGCCTTTTCAGCGGAGCGAAGGGCACTTCAATTCCCGCTGATGTGATAAGCATCAGTACCCGTCCAGCGCAGTATAGGCCCACTACAGGCTAAATGCACTAACAGTGCAAAGGTCGCTTCAGCCCCCCGCCCTATGGCCAAAGAAATGATATTATGATTGGAGTCAGTCAGTATATGGACAGCATACCTAGTATAGGTACTTTTAACAAGGGAATTTCTATTCACTTCAATGGAATTCAATTGGCTGTCCAAGACAGACAGTAATGCTTTGAATGAGAGGGGTGGTACCATAAACTGATACAAAACTACAAACAGGACTCAAACGACAAACATACAAGCTGGACCAGCGATAAGGATAACTCAAGTTTCCAAGCCAAGTTCAAGCAATCAAGCAAATATAATCAATCAATTCGAGGTCCCCCATAGAGTTGACCAAGCAATTAAAGGTCATCAACTTAATTAACATTAATTAGCCGCCCGGCAGAATTCTAAGGGTAGGGTTGAAGCCTATATTTTTCTACCCCTAAGGTTATATTCGGAGCCGCTGTATTACTATAGAGAAAACCCAATTTTGGTAGCTATAAGGTGCAGTCTTACAGCTACACTTTTCTCATTCGGCTCGATTTTAGTAAAAATCTACAAATTACTACAACTACTTATACTTACCCTAAATCTTCCATCTAACCAATCAGAAGGCCAGGATCCTTACCGCAATATACCAAATTTCTAATATTTTTAAAGGACCTTTACCCTATATTTAAAGCTATAGAGCAATACAACTATACTAACGAACACAGAGCAGTAAAGAGCTTTTTGGAAGAGCCTTAACGTTGCATTACCGTACAGGGAGTGCAGTTGCGGACTATGTACGGTAATGCAATGTTATCTCTAAAGCTCTACAGCGGCTCCGAACACAACCTAAAGATCGCTACCCTAGCTCGGACCTACCCCATCTCGAAATTTTTAGTATTTTGCTCTATCGTCAATTACTTAATCAATCAAGCAATTAATCAATTCAAGTTGGTTACTTGTCCCACTCAATCAACTTTAAACCCTTATTTGATTGAACTTGAGTTATCCTCATCGCTGAGCTGGACTCCTTTAAAGTCCGGGTATCTCATGGACAGAAAGAGACAAACACCATACTCCATGCCCGCTAACAGAACAGAAACCACCACAATACATTCCCTTTGTCAGCTACTCCATCTTTCTTGACCACCACTTCACTGTAATACTTCCGAGTGAGGCTCAACAGAAACTCTCAGCACAAACTCCAACAACACAAAGTCTGACGTCCAAATTGCCCCAGCAGCACCGCAAAAATTCGATGCTCTTCATGGTGAAGAGAAGATGAAAGCGAGCAAGGGATGGCGCGGAACACGAGTCAACGGATGGTCCGGCACCAGCTCTTCCAGGTCAAAGCAATATGACTCGGCAGCGTTCTTCCAAAGCTGCTGGGTCCCGCGAATGCTGCGTCCTGGAAGGGCCATCTCCTTGCAGTAACGAATATGGTGCTCGTAAGTCTCGATTAGGAGCTGTCGATCGACGAGAGCCTGCTCCTCCAGCGGGTTATGGCAGCCTTTGTCGGCCCGCTCTTCTCCCTCTGTCGTGAGGTCTTGGCCGCCGGGCGCCTGAGGGGGGTCGCGGGGCTTAGAATGATTCGGGTGAGGCTCTTGAAGTTGGGTCTTCAGAGTCTCAGCAGGAGACAAGGCGGGGCGGTCTTGGTTCATGGCAGGCTCGGCGATTGCGCGAGCTACCTTCCGGTGGGTCGTAGTTGCCGGGCTTGCCTTTCCGTTAGCCCTCCTTTCCTTGTTGATCCGGAGACGCTCCAGAATTAGGACATCTCTGACAAGTAAGGAGACTGACTTCGGCAAGTCTTCACTGGGCCTCTCTTCATCGTTCACAAAGAACATGCTTTTGCCGTTTTTGCGGCATTTCATGGCGATCTTGCCCGCTTCCTTTTGGCGCGTCACGCCATAATTGGCTGGAACCCAATAGAGAACCAGTTCGACCCTCATTCCCGGAATATCGGCCAGCTTCTGTACTTCTTGGTGGACGAGTGACGAGACTCTGGTGTGGAGGGCAGGATGGAGATGAGGTAGATGAGGTATATGTGATGTACGAAGAGTACCTTGTGCGCGAGCAAGAGGCTGTGGTTTTGGTGGTGTAGTGGTGACTACCTTAGCAAGTGAGTTGCGGCGAGCTGTTAATTGTTTGTTGTCCGTGATGAGTTACTGAAGAAAGGAAAAAATTTTGTCGACAATTGGTATTGTGTGCTCCGGAAAGAATAGGGCTCTGAAACTTTCAGGCAATGACAGGTGCCGCGTCAGCTGTCTAGCCGTGTCAATTCGATACCGAACGTAGTATGGTGGGCAAACATGGGATGAAAATTAGGACAGCTCTTGGTGTCCACGATCCTACCGAAGATGGTATCGACCTTGACTTGTGGTACTGTGGAAGTGACGTGCCTAGGGATGATAAAGATGAGCGTATCCGGCACCATTGGTCTTGTGTATATCATTCTGTGCACAACAGGAAAGACGAGCAATGACAATGCCATACTAGAATTCAGGCAGTTTGGGGAAATAGAGAAGAAGAAGATAGGAAAACAAATCGCGGTCGAGGAACCCTTTGCGAGTGTCTCACAGCTTAGATAAGTAAGGGTTGAGTGCTGATGTGACAGTGCTGCATTAGCTCTAAGGTCAACAAAATGGATGAAGACACAGGTATGGCAAGCGGGAAGGCGAAATAGGGGCGACACGAGGGCCACGTATGTGAAGCTAGGACCGCGCTCCGTGGTGAAGAAAAAGGACCAGATGATGTGTTGCCTTCAACGTCTTAATGAATATGCGGATGACCCGACGGAATGCAGGGTTTAATGGGAAAAAAAAAGAAAGCCAAGGGTGTGAATCGAACGCGGGACGTACAGCAGCCTGGAAAGGAGTAGAAGAGCCTTATTTATTGCGTAGCCGGAAGACGCCAGGTTGAAGTACTACTTGGGGGCACCAAACGCCTCGGCTCCTAGCTACCTACAGAGCAGGTAGACTAGAGCAAACGCGGAGCACCGCTAGGGTTTCACAGGAGATTCCCCAAGCCCCGAGTGGTGTGGTTCGCAAAGCTGCGCTTCACACCGCTCGACCACAGAGCCCTTGGAAATTTGTTGAATGCACTGACCTTTCGACCAAGTTAAATACCCCCTTCCTCCCCCATACCCCTCATCACGACTGCAGCTCTACTGCCTGCATACCAACTCTGACGGACTTTACACATGACACTTAGCAATTGCAATTCTTTTCCCTTGAGATAGGCAAACTAATCTTCCTTTCAATTGACACGGATCCTTCTTTGAGAAGTTCGTTTCCGTTTCCATTCATCCTCAGTCTTGATACGAGTTCTGTTCGGTATCCCAAGTCGGAAATGGTGCCACATGCCTTCGTTCCATTCACGCGTACAACTTCAAATTGAGAAAGTAAACAAAGTACAGAAAAGAATGCTGATCAGGAATGCAGGTGGATACGTTTAACTTGCAAGATAAACTGAGCAATGGGACAAAGACCGAATTTGACCATCGACTTGATAACGCGCAAAAGGCAAGTTTTGACTAGCTAGAAAAAGGAAACATCACCTATCATGAAGAGATTCTTTGAATATGCTGTCGCTGATAACATCATGTAACTCGGACACGTCGACAGCAATGACTTCTATCACCAATACCCCTCCCAAGCCTCCTCTCTTACTCCTCGTTCTCCGAAGTCTCAGAAGTCTCAGAAATCTCAGACTCCTCCTTCTCGTCACTAACAGTCGACTCTCCTGACTCATCCTCGTAATCGCCGTCGCTGCTCATCTCATCCATTGCCTCTGCATACAAGACTCGATACGACTTCTTGTATCCATGGCGGAATCCGTCCATATATCCCGTGTTGCTCCCATCATGGCAACCGTCAGAGATGCCATTGTCGTAGCCGTCCTTGAAGGCATCGTTGTAAGCTAGGTTGTACGCCTTGGAGTAGGCCTCGTCGTAGATCTCGCTGTAGACTTTCTTGTAGACCTCATTGTAGATGGACTCGTACCAAGGGCCGTTGTCGGTGAGGGCGAACTTGTGCGGGTAGACGGGTCGGGCAGTCGTCTGGGAAGGCGGGTGGGACTGGTGCGAGGTTGAAAGTGGCTGCGACGGGCGCTCCTCCGAGTCCACGTCAATGTTGCGGCGCTTGGCGAATCGCTCCGCGGTGGCTTCGTCCTCCTCGCTGTCGTCTTCGCGCTTGCGGCGCTGTCCGTTCACTAACTTGAGCTCTTGTTGGTCATTCTCTACTCTGGATCTCTGTTCGTAGTTGTGGCGGTGCTCGCGCTCAATCTCGAGTTCGCGCTCAAGCTCGTTGCGAACGCTCAAGCTCCAGGCGTGTCTGATTTCAAACAAGTCGCGCCGGCTGGGTACCTTTAGGTCTTGGGTACCTTCGGCAAGATAGCAGTTGAGGGAATCTGCTTGAAGAATTGTCAGAATACACCCTGGACGAGAGTGCAGGAGATTTGCTGAAGTTGAGAAGGAGAGGGCGCATCAGCTTACCATTGTTTGAGCTTTGCTCCTTCTTCGGAGCTGCAGGCGATGCCATTGTAGCTCTCCTGAATCAGGCAGTTGTTGATTGAGGTAAAGTTGCAAGAGGAATGCTTGCGCTCAATGTTAAGCCAAATAACGATTTTGAGTTACGAGATATGTACTCTAGGTACCTAGTGCGGGCAAGTAATGCAAGTGAAGAAGGTTGCAGTGAAGGGCCAGAAGTGGGGGCATTGCGGGCGAGGCCCGGGCATGGATCATTTGCGATCTGTGGTGGGGGTCAGGTGCATGCACAAGTCGGGATATGGCACTAACTTTCAGTCTTGCAGCGCAAGTCTGATACTGTTAGCGCACTATGTAAGTGCTGTGACATTCCTGGTTCAGCCTCCTCGTGAACTGAGGGGCATTCATGGTGAATGGTAAAAGCATGATACCTCCATTACCGTCATATCACTGTTATTACCGTCGCTTCAACACAGGCAAGTAATCACGGATATATGAACCAGCATGCAAAGCCGGTATTACTCACAATATGGTCCTATAACCCTAATTCTGAGATGTTTGCTCCTGCGTGACGCGCAATGCTGCACTGAGCTGCCTCGCTGACTGTCTACAGTATGCGCGGCCCACAGAGAGGATACAAGTTTTGTGACTGAAGAAAATGCCTTAATTTGGCTTTCTGGCTATCTATAACACCAGGACCCATGCAATTCCTTGATTTCACCATCGGTAGGGCTCGCAAGTTTGGGAGTATAGCACCACTTTATGGTTAGGGTTATAACCGTATAAATAACGAAAGTTCAGCATGCATCGTGCCTTCCACATGCAACGATTCCATTTCATCGTACTTCCGCCTTCGCTTGCCGAACCCGAAAAAAACTGAAGCTGGTTCCTATTACGATTTTCTGCCCACATCTTTCGCTCTCAAACTAACGCGTCACGAGTCACGGGACCAGACGGATTCGACAGTACTTGCGTTGCACCCTCTCTCCCGCGCTTTTCACCGTTACTCATCACACAACGATTGCGTTCGTTGGCGACTTTAATTCTCGCGTTTATCACCCACCTGCATCAGAACTTAACCACTTCCTATGACGGAGAAAGTTCTTCCAACGCTTCCCTCACGACGAGGCTACCCTACTATATTCGTCGGTCGACCCCCAGCCTCTAGTATACGCAAAACTCGCGAACACCTCTACGAGATGATGGCTACATCTATAGACCGCAAAATCAAATTGCGACCGGATAGCTTGAGTATTGCCACATTACCAATCACGTGTGAGTGCGCTTTGAGGCGCATGGTTCTTCGAGGTATCAGAGCCGGTTGCGAGACAGTATACTGACACCACGAGTGGCTGAAGAAGGGGATGCGGAGGGCCAGGATGGCGACGACGGTCCATCCCCGCGCGAAGCGGACATAAACGGCCCAAGGAACAATCTCGAGGTCTTCAAAGGCTCGAACGACTACGAGATGCACGGCAATGATAATCACCTCCAACCTCAACCCAATGAAGAGCGGCAAGATGTCAGCTTCGAACAATGGGTAAATCAATGCCAGGATATCCAGCGGTGGAACCAGTTGTCAGCTGAGTTTCAGGGTTGCTACCAACAGTGGTACACCCTGTTTTTAAGAGAACAATAAAAACGCGATGTCGATCTGGAAATGGGCGGAACTTGAGGCGTGAATCAGGTGACATGTCGCGTAGGGCGGGGGGACCTGGGCAGTCATCTAGCTAGGCTAGATGACTGGCCGTCGGTCGTTTCTGGGCTTTGGCAATCAATCGAGCAAGTAGCTCAAGACTTTTCTTCCTCTCTGCTTTTTTCCCTTCTTCTTTTGACCGTTGGTTCGATCTAGTGATCCACTGACAGTGGCCTCTTTCTGGTGGCGCGAGAAGTCTCGCCCATCCCTTGTGACTGTGAATGGCCTCTTCGACCTACTGGGTAAAATGGGCTTTTCATCCCTCATGCCCTCCCTATTATCCAGCTGTGATACCCTTCACGACAGTGTTTTATGGCATGTCGACACTGAAGACAATGAACGCGGAAGCAAGCCTCTTTGTTTGGCACAAACAACTGGACGTTGAGTCATGATTTTGAATTTTCCGCGTGCTCAATTTTTCTGTTATCTGTGTATCCGATGTGTAGCTGGCTTGCCAGTTGAGCTTGCTGTGTCGTTGGTTCCTCCTAATCTCGCCAGGGATACCCGGTTCAAAAGTGGCACCGCTGACATCTACTGACATAGTGCATTAACACAAGTGTACCAAAACTTGTCGAAACACTGATAACAACTCATTAGTAAGGATGCTTCCCGCTCACCCTTGCCTGGCCCACTGTTCATTCCACCCCGCTATCAACCTCACTTTATTAACGGAGGGCTACCGTCCATACCTGTGAGCACATCGAAGACGCGGGTTAACAACGGCTTCGAAGATTCAACACCTATGTTGACATCAGGAGAAAGTTCGTAAATGAGAGGCAGCCAGATGCAAGCCAAACTGAATGGATTGGATTCTGTTCTATACCTGATTCGCTGAGGCACAGAGGCGCTATGATTGTTGGGCAGAAGGGGTTATATTCCTTGAAGCCTCTAATACACACCACTACTTGATTCTATACTTTCATTCTCTTATATTTTTCATGGCCCTCTGTGCCCTTCTGCCCTTCCTCCTCGTTTTCTTCCAATTTGTGGTTCTCCTTCTTGGTACCTGTGCTGCTTTTTCTTCTCCCGTTGATACGGGTTTCGACCTGTTGTTCGTCCATCTTCTCCTTCTCGTTCTCGTAATCCGCCTCTTCATCCTCAATCCCCTCCTTCTTCTACTCCTTCATCTACTACTCCCTCTGCTGCACCTTATTATCTCGCTCTCTTGATATTTCTTATATCGTTGGTTGACTATAACATCCCGTTTATAATAGTGTTGTTGACAGTTTCTCACAAAGGTTAGAGATCCATCGCTCTGTAAACCTGCAGCACTGTCAGTCACGGTGAGATTGTAAGTATAATGTTGAGCGCGTTTTCAACGTCATGAGTCTCCCACAGACATATTCTGTAGACACAAGCTGTGTGAGAAGTGTTCAAACGTGCGGCAGCGTGCTATAATCTTGATACAAAGTCAAAGCTACCTAGGTATGAGTGCCCGGCCTACTTCTCCTTGTACATAGACTGGTTCAGCTGGTCCAAGGATAATTAGCTTGCTAGCCTGATTTTCCGAGTCAGACCTCCCCTTATCTGTCGGCAACACTGCAGGATCACAGGATAATGCGTTCGGTCAAACAGAGAGTGCATTACGTATCTCGGTATCAACAAGCGTGTCAAGAATAGTGTCAACCTGAAACCCTCTAAAACACATCATATATCTAGATACACTTATAGTAATTACCGCATACGCTTGAAGCTCACGAAGTATGGAAGAGTGTCCTGAAATTCATCCATTGACCGAGCGAAGCGAAAAGTGATATTACAGTTTCAGTGAAGTCGAAGTCCACTTCAGGAGAAATAAAATTGTGCTACTTGATGTCGTAAGAGCAGTCGAGGTAGTTTTTAGGTTTCCTAGCTATGAAGATCAAAGGTACCCTCACAGAAGACAAAGCTATTCAACAGCAAAGTACTGGAAGCGATGGATGTAACAAATGAAACATGACTCAAAGCTACCTCTACCATGTTCTAAAGTCTCTACCTGACAGGGGTATCTCGTACAAAGGAGAAAAAACCGAATGAATCCAAACTCCATGCTCCTGCGCCATGCAAATAATGACATGAATCCTTGCAAGAACCGCTCAATATCCTTCACACACCAAACACCACACATCTTTGATTGCTCGGCAACCTCGCCATGGTTCAACACCAAAGTCTTCTCCTCATCCCATATGAACCCAACATGACATAATACACTACAAATGCCTGATTATCCCAACCGCCCCAAACCCCAGCAACAGGGATAAGAACGAGCAACCACCTTAGGAAAAGGATGCTCCAAAGAAAAAAGGTTGGTCACGCGCCAAGTGGCGCACCTCCTTGTCTTTCTCATTCACCAGCTTTTGCCGCTGGCTTATGTCCACACGCATGGCATGGATTTCGTCCAGCAAGCGGTTAATCCGGGCTCTCTTCGCCTCATGAGCACGCACAAGGGAGTTTCCAGGCGCCATCAGGCGAAGCTCCTTGAGGCAGACTTCCTGCCAGTGCTCCAAAACCGGTTCATTCCTGTGTCCACACATCCTCCTCTCCTGCATGAATCGGATGCACTGCTCTAGAACATGCTCCTCCATTAGGTCATCCTCCTCCTCAGCCGTCGCTTCGGTTCTAGTCACCGTGGCTTTTTCGGTGCCTGAAACATCATCTTGTTCGATGCTTGGGGCTGAGTCCTTGATCTGGCTGGTCTGCTCGATGGTGGAACGGGCCGGGCCGAGATCGCGCCACCACAGTGGCTTGTCCGTTCCCGGGAAGGGGATGTCCGATACCATATCCGGAGGGCCGCCCATTAGAGGCGGGTCTGACGTGTAGGGCACCGAGTTGCTGGGGTGAGAGGGCGTGAGGGAGATATCGATGGACTCGTGGACCTCGAAGTCCGAATCGTAAAAGTCCTCGGGATCGGAGAAGGAGGAGACGTATGGCTCCGGGCAGGGGTCGTATGACTGGCCGTACCACGAGTCGTGGTATCCAACTGGAGGATTGATAGGAGCACTGGCTACTGCTGGTCCCCCGTCGAACTTCTCTTTGTGATCCTTACTTTTCTGGATCAGGGCGTGTTCTACATCGAGATACACCGGTGGAGCCATCTCTGCAGCTAGTCTCGCTTCACCGTCCAGGGTAAACATATTCTGCTCGCCATCAAGTAGACGACATTGGAGGGCAACGCGCTTGGCAGCCCGCTGGCTCTTGAGGCCACTTTCCGCCGTTAGCCAGTAGAGGTGTAAATCGACCTCCAGATCGGGAATGTCGCCAAGCTTCTGACTTTGTTCGAACATTATAGCTTGAATTGCTCTCAAGAGTTTAGCGTGAGCAGTGGGACTCCTGCTCGCACTCCAAGCGTTGTTGATAAGTACGATGTCTCGAAACACGTAAAGCGCTCCCGTGAAAATTTGTACCGTAGCAAGCTTGGGACCACCTGAACCAGGAGGAAGGGTGAGTAACCGCTGGTGGGCAAGCTGAAGTGCCTGGACCACTGCCAGAGCCTCTGCAACTACGTTATCCCTAAGTAACCGTGAACTCCACGCCATCTCGGCTTGCTTGCCATGGTCATCGGTGTTTGGGGACATTTCGGTGAAGACTACCGAGTAGGCGCCGACGGTCTCACAGGCTGGCTTGTGCAAACAGGACGCTCCTGTGAAGAATGACAGCGCAACTTCGCCTTTCGTTGCCATGCGACCTTGGAATCGCTCAGCGATGGTGTTAATATGACGCTTGGAGGCCTCTTCGTTTGGTTCAGGAGCGTGGACTTTGCCGCGCAATTTAGTGCAGACTTTGGGAATCCCTGTTTACGATAAAATTTATTAACAAGGACAAAGAGAATGTACGATGTTTTGATGCTAATATGGTGTTGTTGCAGACTGGATGTATCTTACGAGAAGTAATGTGTATTTCTGGTCTGCTGAGCGCCCGGCTAGACGAGTCGAGCGCGTTGTCCGTTTCCGTTGCATTTGACGCCATGCTGTACAATGTATCGTGAGGGACTTGAAAGACGCGCACAACTGAGATGGTCGCAATAGGAGCGCGCAACTGTGGCTCGAGATGATCAAAGTACCTCTATGTATGCGCACTCGTCGAGGTGTTGCAGAGGGCAAGAAGACTGAGACGCGCGGTCTACAGTTGCTGTTTGCAAACTTTGATCGAGGGGTAAAAAAAGATTTCGGGAGAGAAATTAGGTTCTGTGCGTAAAGTAGGGCCTTGTGGGTGGACTGCTCAGCCTTTCAAGCCGGCCGCATCGCCCCTCAACCGTGCCAAATTAATGGGATGGCCCAATGGCAGCTGTATGGACATCGGATGATACCTGGGTATGGTAAAGTAGTGATGCCGCAAAAGGAGCTCACAGACCGCAAATACTTGAGATGTTCCTGAACCGATCATTGTTGGTCAAATTGTAATCGGTTGAGGAACGATTTAGGCAGGCAAGAGAGTTACATTGACCTAACATTAACCTACGTTGAAGTGAAACAACACAATACGAAAAGACATTCGAGCACTCGTGATATTACAGGATTTTCAGTATTATACGACGGGTATCAAAAGCAGTTAACAAACGGAAGGTAAAAACAGGATAATGCTGCCAGTTCTTGTACCGATATATAACTACCTCTACTGAAAGTACTCATTACAGGTCTGACTGAAGCTAGCAAAATAAACGTATCACAAAGAAGACGCAAGTATGGTGGATGGTAGTGTCAGATTGAGATAGGAAAAGCAAAAACAGTAAAGGGACAAAAAAAAGAAGGTGGAAAGGTCTCGATCGCGAATCGAACAGGGGACGTTTGAGCAACTGGAAGGGAGTAGTAGAGCCCTATTATTGCATAGCCGGAAGACGCCAGTTACAATAAACTATCCCAGAGGGGCACCGCTCAGCGCTTATCATTCGTACTTTAGTGTAGTGTACACAGTTCTACGGTGACGCGGCCGCCATGAGCGGGCATTTTTCCCCTGGACCTAACCCTGGTGGATCGCAAAGCTGCGCACCATACCGTTCGACCACTGTCCCTTTCCGATAATCTGCTACAAAGTTCTGACCTATTAACCCCCAGCTTCGACGTATTTCCATCACGCGTACTCATTCCACCCTGCTTCCGAGCACAAACAGCAATGCGGTAATGCAACTTATCATCAAAAAAGTTGGCCAGGCCACCTCATTCATCTACGCGCATTCAACACCAAACAAACTGTCGAATGAATAAGCCGAACACAAATCTGTCCAATGCATCACCCCTTCGGCATACTCGTGCACCTATTTTTCTCTCTTTACGACACCATACACACAAGGGCTGAGGCTTCTAGATTAAATATTATTTTATGGGCTCCGCCCAATGGACTTCCAGATTATTACGAGAGTTGTGACAGTGCTAAATGTTCTACATTGTTACCGACATGGTACTTCCAACATCAAAAAAATGTACTCCTGAAAAGATGATTCGCATCCAAATGCCTTTTGTGTCTCTACCTACATGGCAGACGGTATCTATACTGTACATAAGTCGTCTCTGCATCGTCATGCAGGCGCATCATCAATTAGATACAACCTCAGCCAGATATCCATTGACCTGCAAATTATGACCCCGTCTCTTGATATCAACCTCCTCTACTGCATCCGTGAACTTCAACCGCACACCTGGCTCGAAAATAAGACAATGCGTCGAGCCGCCATAATGGAACTGTGTCAAGCAGTCAAACATCATTAGCACATATCTCAACATCAACACACGCAACTTTGGCAAACAAAGAACTCCGTGAACTCACCATACCAATCTCCTCCCCCTTTTCGACCAAATCCCCCTCCTTGACCGTAACCTCACAACTACTCACCTCCGCCATACCCACCGCTACAAACACCACCGTCCCCAGCCTTCTTTCTTTCGCCCGTATATACACCAAAGCCCTCGTGCCCACCTGGCAGAGATACCTCTGACTTCGATCCGGCGCTGAAGGATCGAGCTCCCGTTCCTCTCCATCGTGTAAGTCTTCGCGGGACGCTAATCCAGGACATCCAGCAAAGTAAGTCCCTTGTATCTTTTCAACCTTCTCCACTACTCCAGAAACAGGGGCATGCCAGCGGTGGTAACTTAGTGCCCCCAGGAAGCCTTGGTAGATGGTTCCGCCTTTGAAGCGCATTGCTTGTTCTAGTTCTTTGTCTGTCTCCTTCTCTCTCTCCTTCTTTTTGTCCTCGTCCCTCTTCTTGTCCAAGTTACCCCATGACTCTTCCTCTACACTGGCCTGCAAAGCCCCGAGAATGGTAACCAAGCTATACGGCTGCCCCTTAATCCAGAACTCATCATGCAGCTTGACTCCACGCTCTAGCGCCATGGGTGTGGATTCGCAAGCGTTAACTATAACGCCGTCATCGGAAGGGGAAGCGAGGGGTCGAATACCCGGCCTGAACCGGCGCGTAAAGAAGGCGTCCCAGGACGAAAAGCCGTATGTGGGATGAAGCGGGTTAGAGACGAAGAGGTCGTGAAACTGGGGACGGGGATCGTCGCTGGTATCTGTCTTCGCCTCGCGGTCGGAGCTGTTAGTGTTGATAGTGGTAGGCAGATGGGCGGTAGACACAAGGGCGTCAAGGGCAGTCGGGCTCAGCCAGCCGGTCGCGGAGGAGTTGAGAACGGCAACAGAGGCGGGGGAAGAGAGGAATTTGCCGTAGGCGGTGAGGATATCGTGAAAGTGGGCGTTGACGTCGGGACGGTGGAAGGCGAGGAGGCCTGCTGGGGTTGACATGGACCAGTTCTTTTGTGTTTGGGCGGGGTTAGAGATGCGATTGGCGACAGGAGAGAAGCCAGAAAATGGTGGGGAGGTAAGATTACGGTAACGTACCAAAAGGGCGTTGAAAGGAAAGCCAGTTAGTCCCTGCTGGCCTGGTGTATCGTAAAGCCATACCGGTCCTTGTGTGAGCTGGTTGTTGAAAGCGCAAAGAAGGCCCATCCAGTTGCGGAATTGTGGACCACCGGTTGGATTCTTGTCGTAAAGAGGTCCATTCGGGATTTGTTGTAGCATCTGGGTGAAGAGTAAACGAACTTCACGGTTGTCTTCAATAAGATGCCAGAGTGCGTTCACTGAAGGATGCAACTTTTCTGTAGCAATGATTGGGATTGTTTCTTGGCGACCCATCGTTTGACCTAGCCAGGCACATCTTGAAAGATGAGAATCTATCTTCGCTGACGGTACATCGTAAGTGCCTTGATGGTGCTCATGTAATGCATTGTTGTTGCTGGAGTCTTTGGTGTTCGTCAAAAGAGCCGTTTCATATTTTTCTCTTCCTTTGGGTGCAATTTGAACTTGGGAATATTGAACACGCATCTTGAAGGTACAACAAAGTGTCTTCTCCTCCACGGTAGCAGCGGTAATGAGGGGGAAGTGGTTCATATATCAGATATATGTCTTCAATCCTCAACATAGCCTACCAGAACGTCAGCTCTGTGGTTCGTTATCCCCGTACAACTCCATCTTTGCCTTTTCAAAGTTATCGTACATTACGCATCTGAGACAAACTAGGAGCCGAGACACCAGTCGGAAGCCTATGGGAACTAGGCGCTGTGCCATCTTCAGCTGTGATGCCGGGTCTCGTTCCAATGGAGTCCATTACCTCCCAAGAGCTGATGTCGATCTGCGGGTTGCACTTGCCATTTAAGACAGGGGAGTGAGATCTGATTCGCCAGATTGTTCGGGAAGATCTTGTTGCCGATGATGCGGTGTGACCGACGTACCGACGCCATTCAGCTTCGGTGGAACAAGACTATTTCCCCACGAAATGCGGAACAGAATCTTGGGAAGAAGCAAGTGTTGGGTGATTTGGCGGCAATTTGCTGTAAACATATGTGAGTAGACTGGCGCTGTGTAGCCAGATCATGGATATATGGGCCAATAAAGGCATCTCTCCACAAGTACAGCCCAGAGCAACACTGAACTCTATTGCTTTGCTCAAACAAAACAACATGCTACCAGAACCATTCACAAGTTTTTCTTCAGATTCCTCTAGCAACACAAGTTTGGCAACCAATGAGCTTGAGGCGCAATGCAAGATGGATCTCCATTATGTCGACGGGGAGGCGGCAACAGATGGTCCAGGACCAACTGGCATAGCCCATTGGCATAACCATCCGCACGCTCTCCCGATATCTGTTAATTGGTAACGTCCTTATTCCCTCGCTGGCGGAGAGAGTAAACTTGCTGCTGGTAGCAATCAGCAAGGATTTGTTGATTGATCGAGGCTTGTTCCTCGTTTGAGGCCTCTTCGCTGACCATTGCCCTCCTCTCATCCATCTCTTGGTCACCTAGAATGGCCACTTGGTGAACACCCGACTGACCCTCTTTCTTTGTCGAAGCAGTTAACGTCTCTGCTAGGGCCACGGCCTTTCCTGGCTGCTCCATCAGATCGTGCCGGTCCTCTTCCGCAGTATCTCGTTCGATAAAGCCGGAGACACCCTCGGGTATTAGCCCATCATCCCTCTTCTCGTTTCCCACAAAATACATATTCTTCCTGCCTGATTTCCTTCGGCAACATTTCGCAAAGTCCCTAGCACACACCATCTTCCCATAGTCCGCTGGCACCCACTGGAGATACAGCCTCACGCGCGCGCCGACGATGTTGCAAAGGCTGTACGACAGATCCTCGATCAACTTGACGACTTCAAGCGTTGCCTCCCTTCCATCCTCGATAATTTCCCTCGAATCATCGATGTTCTTGAGTGTCTCGACGCAGTGAGTGAACACCTTCACTGTCGCCTTCTTTGGCCTCTCCTCATCGTCGGGAAAGGCACGTAATCTCTTGTCTGCGATGTAGAGTGCCTGCGCAATGGCCAGCCCGGCAAGTCTCTTCTCGTTGACCACTTCAGAGGAAGAGCTCATGTACCATGCCATTTTGGCCAGCTTCTTGTCCTGGTTGAAGACGACAGAGTATGCGCCCGTGGGATTGGTTGTTTTCGTGCAGGAGGCACCTGTGAAGAAGGCCATCCAGATATGGTTCGGGGTGGGATGGAGCTCTTTTTGTAGGGCGTAACCGGCCGTGGAGATGGCTTTGTCTTTCGTCGTCTTGTCGGAAATGCCTGGGCCGAAGATTTGTCCGCTGAATTTGCTGGTGGGTTTGGAGCCTTGTTGGAGAGGATGGGTTAGCAAGTTGAAAGTTGAATGCGCGAGCCGCTCAAATGGGCTGTCAGGTGTGTCGAAATCAAGAAGAATTACTTACCTGACTTCATGGTATCGCCAGCGCGACCTTGCTTGCTGACGTCTGAATCAGGGTTTCCGCTCTTGTTGCTCTGCTCGGTGTCTGCCATGGTGATCGCAAGCGCATTGATGGTTGGCGATTGCGTGGAATGGTTCTCTTAGTAAAATGCGCTTGGTAGTACACACTCAATGGGACGCAACCGTAGACTATGCTGTGAGAGAAAGTTGGTAAACAACGCGACTGATACGGTCGGGTAGTAGAATCGGCGAAGCGTGGTGAAGAAATGCGATTTGGTGCCGTGTGTGGGACTGCGGGGGCAGGCGGCTCGTTCGATAAAGTGTCTTGTCGAAGCACTCACCCATACCCGACCGGCCGCGGTGCCATTCACTTTCAAAGTTCGACGAACGGAACGTAGTGTAAGATTACCTACCCAACCTGAAAGGCATAAGTACGGTACCTACCTAGAAAAACTTTGGTAGCCCAGGGCTCTGCGTATTGTACGGGTGCCCTTATGTATTGAAACTTGTGGGGGCCCCACCAACTAACCTTTGTACTCCCACTCGACCCTTGGATGTTGAACAAATCTTTAAAGGGTTCAAAGACAACAGATCTCTTGTCGGCCCCCCTTTTTAATAGAAAGCCATGGATCCTTGCGCTAAGCTATGTGCCAAATTTAAACAGACATAATTCGCTCTAAATCTCAGCTTATTAAGGTAGGTAATTGTCCAAGTTACATCAGGACACATTTGCACTGCGGTGTTCTTCAAGTCAGCTGGAAGAAGCTGTTCTCCAAGAAGAACAGCAAACTTTACCTTCATCAGGCAAGCACACGTCTTTGGGACTACACATAAACTCCTCTCGCACTGAACAAGAACCAGTAACGAGTCCAATGTCAATCATCACATAAACATGGCAGTGTGTTGAAAGGAGCCTACTCCTGTATAGCCTTTTCGATGGCCTTTAAGATGTACTTCCTTTCAGGAGTCGCTGGTTCCAACAAAGAAACTATGGGCTGAATCCGTAACAGGTGAGCCCCGACTTCTCTTTGCCAAAGTGAATACGAGTAATTATAAGGGCAAGCGAGAATTCAAGACGTTGTTGATGGAGGGAGGACAAAAAAGCACGAAACGGAAAGAAGGGAAACCGTCGATATATGTTCATGTGTAAGGCCAGGAGGGCCTTTATTAAGAAATGAACAGATATCTCGCTCAACATTCTTGCCCCAGCGAGAACCCTCTTGTGCCTCAGATGCGAGGGCAAAGCCGTGAATACAGTTATTTGGTTGGTGTGATCATCAGTCAAAATCACACTCACAGATGATGACCGGATAAGACATGCTCATCCTCCAGAACACCTCACTCGAGTGAAGAGTAGGTATGGAACTCAAATCATCGAATGGCGGTTCAACCCCAATGCCCCCATGTAGACATCTGCCAGCTTGTGAAATCATCATTTCCACTGTTACAAAGTTGGATGCTTGAATGATTCCCTTCTGCAATAGCGAGACAATCCGCACGCGTTTCATCCGGTATCGTGACTGTCTTGGACGCGTAACCGGTATACCTCTTTGAGCCTCCACTCAAGAAGACTAGTGAATGGAAGGAGCGTATTTTACATCTCGTCGCTGCGCTACGGCTTCGCTCCTGCTTCGAGTCATCAATCACTGGCACTCGTGGAAAGATCCACTGCTCAACATACCACCCTGGTTTGAATCTGAAGCAACCCCAGGTTCTTAGCGGGACTCGTCCTTTCTCTGCAATTTCCGTCCCATCACTTCCGCAAACACCCTGGAATCCATTGAATTTTCCCTCCAAGCTTCTGTCACCGGAAAGCTGGCTTCGGTATAGGTTAGGCCTTCTTTTACCGTTCACATGTTCTTGTTCCCTTCATTCCCATCTCGAAATGGAAAAGAGCATAAAACGAGCTTGGAGCAAAGACCCTGGCCTCTGTGAGGACCGCAGTGATCCGGCAAAAAGGACTAAGCGCGTTGGTGAGTACCACATTCCTTGGAAAGATCTTGCCCAGGCCGCTTTCAAAGATGTGATGGTTTACATGATTGGCACGAACGACCAACGCCCTGTGCAGTCATTCGTCCGAGGGGCAACTTCGTTGTGTATTCTTCCCATCTTCCTTTGATTATTCGTTCTACCTGAAGCTTTATGGGCATCAAATCGGGGTATATCAATCTCTTCAAACCTCATGCTGACGCGCCTCCACTCACAGATCGGACGGGCTTTCGGGGCAGCCTACACTACGTATCCAATCGCAATGACAATCCCAGGCGCCGCCAACAAGTCATTGACACAGTCGAAAGGGAGATTGCCGTTCGGTCTACACCAGATCATATCCAGCTGGTCCTCTTCTGCGATGCGTCAGTGGACCACAAAGACTTACCTGCGCTCCCCGGAGGATATGCCGTTGTCTTTACCGAACACTGTCCGGGACAGTTCGACCATGGCAGAAAAGTAGTAATGGGGTGGCATATGCCCCATATGATCGACAACATGATTGGGGAGGCTTTCGCCATTGCACAGGCTATCCAGGTAGCTGGCGAAAAGCTGCGGGCTGCACATCTGGCCTCAAAGTACACCAGAGCGGCGACGGTGAAGGTGTTCACGGATGGGAACCAAGTACTTGAACACATCGATGGACGTGCGGCCATAAAGGGCTTCCGTCAGGAGACTTACCGAAAGGCCATTCGACTTGTCTGCGAGCAGTCGCATGAACTTGGCTGTATTCCCGGTCTCGACGTAAAGCTCGACCTATTCTGGGTTCCTGGGCACGCCGGTGTTGTTGATAACGATACCGCCGACAAGGCTGCAAAGCAGATCCTTAGAAACCCCCGTCACTGTAATATTATCACGGTCGACAGAAAGAGAAGAAGCATTGCGTCCATGCCTGCGGCTGTCTTTCTACCGCTTCAACAGGACCTAGAGGAAGAAACCCGACGAACCATGTCCTCTTATTTTCATCATCCCAATAGGCAATGTCAACCCTCTCACCATGCTCATCTTGGTAGAGACAATCCTCCTTTCCCAAGCTCAACGCTAAGCGAAAAAGCTGCAGGCGGTCTGACCTCCACTCCCACCCTTCTGTCCCCTAAGTCGGGCTACACGGGTGTTACAGTGGCCGTAGCCACCGTGAAGAACATGGCTGCAGCGGCGGACACAATTCCTGTAGTAGCGGACATCGCAAGTGCGGCAGAGGACACTTCAGGTGCGACAAAGGATACGACAGCTGCGGAAGAGGAACAGGTCAGTGCAGCAGGAGAGGAGGTGGCGGCTTTAGATGTTCCTGGCGATGATGGCCTCACTCAACTAGAAGTTGACATTCAACTCTTGGGTGAGATGGAGGAGGCACACAGGAGGGAGCTGCGCGAGGATGTCAAGGTGGATATCTTGAAGCAGTTTCGTCTGGTTATTGAGAACAAGGCAGAATCTGGTCGAAGCTCGTGGCGCTAAACAGGGAGAGGGGGCATGATGTCTGCAGAAACCGTTGGGTGGACGACCTTTGCAGCATTTCGGAAGTTGGGATAGTGGCTGGATTTGTCGTTATTGCCTTGATTGTTCATGATACCTTGGCCTGAATATACTGTATAGCTTTCGCTCATCGTGTTTTGAGTCTTTGTGGGCTTGTAGACACCCTTTAGGCTTGGGCCAAGAGTAATGCTATGATGGTTGATCTAGACATGTGTATGACTGGAACGACCTAGAGATAGCTGAGAATCGAAAGCTCTGCTAAGATAGTGAAAACTGGTGCCAGCAACGCCGCATTGAGTGAATGAGTGGCCGTTTGTGAGACGGCTAACTTTTGCTGAACGTGTTTGTGACAAAGTTGAAAGAAGAGGGACTGAGCAGATGACGTCTGTCAAAGAAGGGGGATAGGAGTGCAAAGTTGTGGTAGTGTATAGATGGGATTGGATGCATGCGTGAGCTTTGCATTGCAGACAGAGAGTAAGTAACGCATAAGACGGTGGTGTCTACTTACTGTTGCCCATGGTGTGTGTGGCTGGTTTATAAGTCAAAGGTTGAGTGGCTACTTGCAACACAAACTTCCATGGGCCGGTGGCCGAGCGGCGTGGTGCGCAAGCGTTACTGCTGCTCGTGGGCTACTAGGGTTCCGACGAATGCGGGGGCTGTCCGACGTAACTTACCCCTTAGAGACGACAAACTCCGGGACCGGACAATCACCAGTGTGCCTCACGGCGCCTGCCTGTCCAAATGGCCATCGTTGGGATAGTAAGTTAGGTTTGGCAGTCGTAATTTACAGCTGGCGTCTTCCGGTTACGCAATAAATAAGGCTCTTCTACTCCTTTCCAGTTGTTCACGTCCACCTTAAAAGTGGTGCGTCCCGCGTTCGAATCCCGTTAGGCTCTATATTTTTAAATTTTTTTGGCCTTTTTTGCTTCTTTGATTTTCATTTCTACGAAGAATGCCAATCATTGCTTCATTGCTTCCTTCTTGTGTCGGTCGCTCCAACCCTTTGAGGCGCGAGAGACTTGGTGGGGGGGCTGCGGGCCGTACCTGCATCTTCTGTCAGGAACAGTGTTTGCTTGCTTGGCATTCATTGACTCGAACGCCAAAGACATGCTCGCCCTCACCCGTGGCTTCTTCTTGGTGAAGACGGTGGTCCCAACCCAAAGTCAAACACCAATTCTTGGAACGACCGACAACTTCTTTCTTTTGTGCCGAGTTTCTATAAGACCACCCACCCCATCACACCACTCAAACACATGCACGGCATCTGCTTTACCAACCTACAATCTATCCATTGTCGCGATTACGAAATGCTTCATTGTCGCACGTCACTTTTTTGTTGTTGGGACGCTTTGCAGCAATGTTTCCTTTACAGCTTGCGCGCTTCGTTCCCAAATCTTGATTGACAATTCGACGTTTCTATCTACAGCAGCTACAAGTAGCGAATGTCTCGGACACTTCCGTTCTCGAAATCACTACCCTAAGCAATAACGACCGTGGGTATCGCTTCAAATTCCAAAATACATCCAACAAGCCCCCAACTCCCTATGCCTAATTATGATAACAAGGCTATGCAAGAAAAGCCAAAGCCGAACAAAGCTAACTTGTCATCCATCCTAGTATCCGTTGCCGATTTCTGTGGTCCATTCATCTACCTTACCAGCAAATAACCGATCCTGTTCAATTCGGTCCCATGTGAAGCACAATCTTCCTCATCTACGAGACTGCCATTGGCTTCGGCCTCAAACTCAACTCCGACATCGCAAGGAAAACCGCCGCATGGAGGAGGCGTATTAGCTTGCGTGGCGCTGCTTTAGGGAGCACCAGCGGAACCAGAGGCACCACCGCCAGCAGCCGCACCTCCCTTTGAAGCACCACCCTTAGCAGAACCACCAGCGGCACCACCACCGGATGCGGCACCTCCCTTCGAAGCACCACCCTTAGCAGAACTATCATCACCACCTCCACCAGCAGCGGCACCACCAGAGGCACCTCCCTTCGAAGCACCTCCCTTAGCAACACCTCCACCAGCAGCGGCAGCACCTCCACTAGCAGTAGCACCACCAGCTGCGGCACCACCCTTAGAAGCACCGCCTTTGGAATCACCTCCCTTCGAGGCACCACCTTTAGCAGCACCTCCACCAGCAGTAGCACCACCAGCTGCAGCACCTCCACCAGCAGCGGCACCACCCTTGGAAGCACCACCCTTAGTAGCAGCACCTCCACCAGCAGTAGCACCACCAGCTGCGGCACCACCTCCACTAGCAGCGGCATTACCCTTAGAAGCACCGCCTTTGGAATCACCTCCCTTCGAAGCACCACCCTTAGCAGCACCTCCACCAGCAGCGGCACCACCCTTGGAAGCACCACCCTTAGCAGCACCTCCACCAGCAGTAGCACCACCAGCTGCGGCACCACCTCCACCAGCAGCGACACCACCAGCTGCGGCACCACCTCCACCAGCAGTAGCACCACCCTTGGAAGCACCACCTCCACCAGCAGCGGCACCACCCTTCGAAGCACCACCCTTAGTAGCAGCACCTCCACCTGCAGTAGCACCGCCAGCAGTAGCACCACCACCCGCAGCGGCACCTCCACCAGAAGAAGCACCTCCACCAGCAGCAGCACCTCCACCGCCAGCAGCAGTAGCACCACCACCCGCAGCGGCACCACCCTTAGAAGCACCACCCTTGGAAGCACCTCCCTTAGCAGCACCGCCCTTGGAAGCACCTCCCTTATCAGCACCTCCCTTAGTAGCACCACCAGCCGTAGCACCACCAGCTGTAGCACCACTGCTAGCGGTACTTCCACTACTACTAGCAGTAGTACTAGCGGCAGTGGCACTGCCAGCGGCACCGCCACGATGTTTTCTCTTGCCGATTACACTCGGCTCGAGATTGCTACCATCATCAAAGACCACGGCCCTAGGATCGCGACGGACGGGTACCGAGCGCCGAACGCCGGCGCGGATGGTGGGTGAAGGAGAAGCGATGACGCCGGGGGAGTCAGGGTGGCGGGCCGCCAGAGAATTGGAACCGCCGGGGGAAAAGGCGGTCGGGGCCGCGTAGGCGGAGAGAGCCGAGGTGAGGAGGAAGAACGAAGAGAACTTCATGTTGACGTTGAAGTGAGTGTTGTTGGGTTGTTGTGTGGATCAGTCGTAGGAATGGATTGGGTAAGGTAAGTTTGGGTCTTTTGAAGTATTGGTGTCAAGACACAAGTTGTGAAGTTACTGGCCGGCAGATGAGAGCGTTGGAGGTATGGTCGAAAAAAGTATATGATAAAAGGTGGTAAGTGAAGAAGCTGATAACCGGCAGCGGAAGAAGAAAGGAAGTCAAGGAGTACCAGACTCGACTCTGTGAATGTTCGAAGGAAGTCGAACGGAGACAAGAAAATGTGTCCTTGTTGTTGTTGTTGTTGTTGCTGCTGATGCTGCTACAGAGGAGAAGAAATTCCTCTTCAAGCTAAAGAGCGAACGATGGTTATATAAACCCAAACTCGTACTCGTCGCTATCTGGCGTTCGGTATCCGGAATCAAGAAAACCAGTGTTTGACATCCGTGGGTCCGTGAGGGGCTGTGAAGGGAGGCGCAAAACGGAATGGTCGGTTTCCCGATAGGGCAAGACCTGCTACCACGATGGCCGAATCTCCACGTCTCGAACCATGACAGTTTCGAAGCAGCGCGAAGTGAGCTATCAGATGTCAGTTGGTGTTGACTTGTGAAACCATCCAGGGAAATGTTTCGGTTAAAAGATTTTTCGATACATGACTCCTGGAATCATGGCTGTCCTGTTGCTTGTGTCATGGCTGTGTTTTCGAAGTGGTGTCGGATCGACATTACCCACTATGGTAGTATGGAAAACTTTTTCTTCGTGGTCGCTTGTAACTGCTAGATCACCCGGCGGTCCGTGTTTCTTTCGGTTCCCTCCTTTCGTCCTGTGGTCTTTTGGTACTTCTACGATGGAGAAGAAACTGGGATAGGCGGGATGAAACTCGAAATCCTGACGACGGGATGGTTTTGACTCGGGGCGTCTGCAGACAGAGAGAGAACATTGGTTTGTCTGGAGATGGGAGTTCGCACGGGGGAAGAAACAGGGAACTTCGTAGTTGTTTGTGTCAGGAGTACGGAGAAAGTTGAGACGGGTGGCGAGTTGAGCGTTCGGATGGGCAGAACCCCGGAGGGGGTAAGTAAGTCTGAGATCAGGACTTGAAAGAGCCTGACAGCGGACATTGAGCGCGATGGACGACGACGACTGCCGGCTGTTGTGAAACTTGAAGGAGTGCCGATGAAGGTTTGGCATGTTCCCCAAGTCTGATGACATCTGCCGTCATATTGCTAACATTAGCCCTGAAATGGGATACACTCAGGGTTTCTTGTACTGAATGTTATGGGTCGACGAATTTGTTGTTACCGCATCGTCAAAGTTGACAAAAAGGAGTCTAACAACTGAACCCAGCAAGAACTCAACGACGTTGGATTAAAGAGCGACGCCAAGCCGCCATGGCTGCATCGAAAAGGGGGTTTGTTTAGGGTGTGTCCGATACAGCAGTAAATGCCCCCAGTAAATATTTTGGCAGGTTGTGGAAGTACAAACGTTGAAAAAGATGGTCAGTGCATTTACGAAAAGGTATTTCCGCACCTCCAAAGGTCCGGAAACAATCTTCTGTAAATCTGGCCCGCCAAGACCTTTTTTAACCAACCACATACCACGCTTACAGAAAAGTGGAGTAACATACTAACTAAGCTATTTACTGGTCCAACGAAAGCCTAGAAAATCTCGAGAAATTGTTAGAGAATACACCAGGCAAGTGACTTTCGCAAGGAATTAACCCATTTTTATCGAAGTACCTTACACGGACCACAACTCTCCAAGATTTACGGATTCCATTTACTGGGCCATTTACTATTGTATCGGACACACCCCAAGCCGCAGTCGTTAAGACAAAGACTCAGTAGCTAGGCATTGAGGATGTGAACATTGATGCCGCCCGCTATGCATGGAATAGGGATGTTCGTTACTTGGCCATTTGGCGAGTTGCTGTAGAGATGTTTAGAAGTCGAATGAGCCAAATAGGCAACGAAACCAAAGGAAACCGAACTGATGAAGCGAGAGGGGTTGAAGTACTGGCAGAGACAGGCTATTGTAGTGTACTGGTAGAGCCAGGCTCGCCGAGGGTACAAAAGCTAGTACATTAAGTTGCGCTGATCGCCCATATAATGCCCGAAAGGTCTCACCTTTTTTATGAGGGACAAGACAGATTGCCAGGAGTTTGAAGACTCTGAGGAGAAGGGGAAGGAAGGGGGTGTTCGTGACGGGAACTAGCCGAATGAGATGGGATTAAGAGGGATGGAGATAGGATGATTGCGGGCGGTTTATCCGGTACCTGTCTTTGGTGTTGTCTTTGGTGTTGCTCACAGAATTGGGACCTCCACCAGCTCCTGATTGTCCCGAATGCCCCAACGGGTCGAATACCAGACTCCTAGTGCAAACTGCAAACTCCATGGTTTATCCAAGAGTAACCCTCCGCGCACCCACCCCATTCCCTACATACACCCAAAAACCCAAAATAGTGGGCCCAGACAGCCGATGACACCTGACATTGTAAATCCCGTTTTTACCCGTAAAATTTCGTCTTTTTAATGTATGTAACATCGCTATACCTTAGTGATTTTTTCCCCCTTTTTTTATACGGCCAATTGCACTTACTTTATACTACTAGCTATCGTACGTCGTAACGTATTACTAGTATATAATAATATAATACTTTTAATATATATAATTAAATTAATTGCCTTTAATCGTCTATAAATATAATTAATTACGTATAATTATTAATAATTAATAAATATTGTTTTTAATTTCCTAAAATACCTCCTCCTTAACGTAACTTTACTATCGTTACAATTCGACTTCCTCGTTATCTACCTTTGTAAATAATTATACCTCTTTTAATAGTAATATTAAATGGACTATCCCTCTTAATAATAGCGCCTTTATTTTATTACTAACCGACTTAGACTCTATAATAGATAAGGTTATTAAAATGTATTGTCGGTATAGATTTGGGGTATTTATATTTTGTACTGACTATTTTAAGAAGGGACTATATATTAGTAAATTCTATTATAAAGTCTTTTAATGCGATTACGCCGAACCTATATCCTATCTAGACGCTAATTCTTATAAGAAACGACGTACGATTATTCGAAAGATTGCTAATAAATATCCCTTCTGTATTATAGTATAATATTTGAAAAAGAATAATTATAAATATACTATTAGGGTACTCGATTGTATATATAAAGGCTACTCTCTATTATAAGCTTTATTAAACTATTTAATCTTTAAATAATAGTCTTTAAATACTAATAATTATTAGGATATTGCAAATCTCCTTTGTTAATGGGAGTTAACTATATGTATTATATATATAATAGTTAAAAAGTATTACTTTAAACTATTACTTACGTATAAGGACTTTAAGAATATATAATAAAGGATATGTTGATAAGATAACGGGGGTTATATTAATATATAAACGTTCGTATACAATTTCGAGAGTAATAGGTTTATTATACTCTAATATTACTTTTTTAATTATTATAAGGATAATAAAAGTTAATAAGAGGAGGAATTAAATATATTATAGTACGGTTTCTAGTATTTAAAAAAATAAGAGAAGATATAGAAACGATATTTATATATTTTACTCCTTAATATTATGTATAAGACGAACCGTTACTATATATTAATTATATAAAGTATTGTAGTTACTTTTAAAAAGTCGTTTATATTAGTCTTTTAAATAGTTATTAATAATAAGAAGGATAAAGGATTTGGTTAGTTTATTAATAATATTAGGAAGACGATAGAGGAGTTGTTAATCCTTAAGTTATTAGTTATTATTATTAACGGTGATAGTTAATTTATTAGGGCTATTGATTAAGTTTTTCTAACTATTTAATATTAATGTTATGTATGGTATATTAATTGTAATGTAGTTAAGTATTTTAAGGATGATTGGGAGCGTATAGAACTTAATAATAAGTAAAATAAAGATAACGGGGAGGGTAATAAGGAGTTTAAAAAAGAGGAGGATGGTAGTAATAATTCTAATAATTTAATTTTACGTATATAACGGTTATATTGAGAGCTAATCGATTAGAGTAATTAAAATAATTTCGATTAATTATACCGTATATATTAAAAGGTTAAAATAGTTATTAGAATATAGGTTAGGTTTAGTCCGCTTCCTAATAAGGTTGCTAATATAAGAGTAGGGCTTTTTTATATATAGTAATATATAATTTATGCTTTATCGATAGTAGAGTTTGAAAGTGCCTTATTATTTTTATATTATTAATTTGGGGATACTTAGGAAATTATTATTAGTTGGATTACAAGTGATTTATTCCCTTGTAAGATTGAGTAGGCTGGTTGTTATATTAAGTACTATTTTAATTGTAGGTAGCGGACTATATTATTAAGTAAATTTAATAATAGTTCTTTAAAATCGTATAGTTTATTTATTTGTGGCGGTTTAATTGATCTTTATTGAGCTAGTAACTAGTATATTATTTACTATTATATTTACTTTAAAGAAGTTATTATTAAATTATTATTTCGTATACGTATAGATTGGATTGGGTGCTTATAGGTAGGTAATATTCCTTTTAATATTATATTATAGGTATATAAATTACTTATACGTTAATATAATTAGTTAAAAGTTACCCTCCCTACTATAAATTATCCCGGTATATTTTTTAAGCTATATATTAAATAGTTTAGAACCTAATATAGTCTCCTTTATATTTATAAAATAGAGGTAAAGAGGGAAGCTAGTAAGATGGTCTTAATTATAAAGGATAATTGCTATTTATTTTAGTATTTAGTTTAATAATAAGTAAGACTACTATTATCCTTTATCCGGGTTAATTTTATATTAATTATTATATTAGAATACGGTAAATAAATATTTATATTTTTATTAAGCTACTAAGGGTATACCTAAAGGTCGCCTTTCTAAATAGGGTAGTCCGTTTAGAAATAAAGTTATTTTATTAAATACTTTATTAATTAGAGTAGCCCGAAGTAAGAAAGTTAATAAGAAGGTAGTAGTATTCCGTAGTAAATTAAAGAATACCCAACCTATACGAGTATTAGTATAGTGTAATTATTCTTAATATAAGGCGGGGCCTAATATTAATGTTAGGAGGCTCAGAGCTCGTATACGGAAGCACCTTAGCGGCTGCTGTTCCCCTTTGTTAATTGACGTGTGGGATTACTAACGATAACGCCTATATTGGGTCGGGTTCGCGGGAAGGATAATTTGGTACTGTGCCGAAGTGCTAAATTAGTATAGGGTTCTATAATATTTATTAACGGATAAATAGAGTTTATATAGGTATAAAAGAGGTTTAATAGAGTGTAATTTATTATAGTCGGTAGCTATCAATATATTTTTAAATTGATTCCTAATTTACTGTCCTCTACGTATGGCTACGACCGTAGTTATTTTAACCTACTTTTTGCTTACGTTCTTAATAAATTAATAACTCTTCCTCTGGAAATTAAGCTAATACTATTAAAATATATATATATAGTAGCCGGTCTATTTCTTATATTACCGAGGCTATTTTTTATCCCTCTTATATTACTACCCTTATAGTTATTATAATTAAAATAACTTAACTTTCTCCGTCTTTATTATAATAATACTAATTTACTATAAAATTTATTGAAGAAAATAATAACGAAGACTACCCTCCTATATTGTTCTAAATTCCCTATTTGTATCCCCAAACTTCGGAAGCCGATAAATTTACGTATAAATAGTAATTATTCGAATTTCGGTTCGCTATAATTAAATTCCTCTTCAATTACCTTCCTTCGTATATATTTTAATAGGAGTAGTTTATGTTCGTAGGCTTTATTGAATAAGATTTAGTAGGAAATTACCCCCCTATCCCTACTAGGTTCTATTATTAAAATTACTTTTTTTATAATTAGATTTATATTTCTACTATATTTCTCCTTACTATTCCTTCGTCGGTAGTTATTATTATAATTACCCCTTTATTAATTACGGTTATACTAGCCTATATTAAATATTATCCTAAATATAATATTATTAAATTTACTAGCGAAAGTTTCTTATAATTATAGAATTATTTTTATAATATCGATATATATTTTTAAAAATACCCCTATACTTCCCTTTTATTTATTATTAATTATATTAAAGGTAATCCTAAGAATATATAAATTAAATATATATTAGTTCTTTATAATAAACTTAAGTATAATACTATTTATAATACGTTTATATAGAGCGACCTTTGTACCTTCTTGGAGATTGAATATAATAGTAATACCTAGGCTATTAAACGATCTACTTTCAATAAATTTGAATATATATAATAAAGTACTTTAGAAATTGTTTGTAATTTCTATAATTACTATTATACTAAAGAATTTAATTTATTATACAATTAACCGGAATATATTTAGGTTATTATTTAAATTA